CAGATAACCATCAGTTGACTGGCACCATTAATGACCAGCATAGGAAAGACTCCTGATCATGCTGGGCCAGCTGTTTTATAATTTTACAAATTATGAAGAAGCTGTCTAAACATTAGACCAACTATATATCAAGACACGTAATGAAACCTCTGCTAGGCATCAGCTTCTGACTAGAAGCCAGAGGAGTCCCTTGAGAATTTTCTTCAGGACTCCAAGATCTTAGTAAAGATTGCAACTATAAAAAAGTCATGGGTGAACAATACAGAGAAGAGCAAATTGGAGATGCCTATACAAGTGGGATTTCATCCAATCTGTTGCTGGAAAATTCAACACTGGATTTATTGTTGGCCTTCAATCAAGTCCATCTCGGCCAAGGAAATTCACAACTTTACTCTCCTACAAGCAATTTGTTGGTCCCAGGTGTAGTAGCCATTACTGGTACCAAGAGTGAATGTTCAGAAAAGAGCTCCACAGTTGTAGCCCTTACCGAAAGTATCTTACCAAAAACAAAGTGCCAATTTTGTGGTAACACAGCTCATAATTCTGTTCTGGTTGTAGCGTCATGTTTTAATTGTTTCATCCGATTATATTAGGCAGCAGTTGCTGGAAAATTCAACACTGGATCTATCATTGGCCTTCAATCAAGCACATGCACTTGATCTCGCTCAAAGAATTTCACAATTTTATTCTCCTACAAGTAATTAGTTGGTCACAGGTGTAGTAGCCATTGTTGGTACCAAGAGTGAATGTTCAGCTGTAGCCCTTGCCAAAAGTATATTACCATAAAAAGTGCCAATTTTGTGGTAACACAGCTTATAATTGTGTCCTGCTTGTAGCGTCATGTTTTAATTGTGGAAAAAATGGACACTATTCGAAGGTTTGCCAGTGTAAACCAAGTTATCTGGGACGACAACCGTGATGGTTAATTTTAAACTAAGTTTGTGTGTAATCCCAGATATCTATTCACTTATAACATACGAGATATTAGTTATATATCAGGGCAGACTGGGTTCTCTAGCCTTGGGTGGCAACCAGTATAGGAGAAAGCTGTAATGACAGCAACATTGAAACTACTCTATTATCTTTCCCATGAAATCATGGCAGATGAAAAATAAAAAAGGAATCTGCAGAAAGGCTATGATCACCCATGTCATGATGGGACATGATGTTAAAAAATAAAAATAACCATGTATATAGTAGAAACTTCAATTTTAATGTGTGATGATATTTGTGTTTCTATTCTTTTGTAAAACTTAACTATTTATATTTTATAAACAAAATACTGGTCTGACTCTTAGCAAGTTTCCTCAATTTTCCCTTGAGAAAGAATTTCTAATTTGTTTTCTCGCTATCAACAAATTATTTCTAACATCAAAAAAGAAAGTAAAACAAAATAATTTTAGATACAGAAGGAATAGTTTAAAATTATGTTTACTGTTGGAAATCTTTAAACTTTGATTTTATTAGTAGTTCTTTCATACTGACCTGTTTGTGTTACAGTACAAAAGTTTCTTTATGATATGTCCCGGAAAGGGATATATTTGTTCGAAGTAGCAAAGTGGTTGTTGACTACTGTAATCAAGTAGGACATTCTAGCAGGGAACCGTAATGGACTGGTCCTCGTCGTTGTGGTAGGCAATAGGCGAAGACTATATGCATAGCCAATAGGCGTCGTCGTCCCTGTACCTTCACATCAGTCTGTCTTTATGGCTGACACCAGCCAATCATATTACTGTGAGGGGGAACCCAGGTGTATGCATATTCAATACATCACTTTATTAAACATATCTTTATTCTAACTGCTTGTGTGCTTATTTACTGTCCCTGATTTTCTGGTTTTCCAAAAAATCAGCTGACCTAACTTATACAACAACAAAAAAATATCTGGTAAGTAAGAATTTGAATTCCTTGGACTTTGATTTAACTCTTGCTTTGCTAGTAATGTAGGCAGCCCAATCCAATCTGATGAGCTTTTGTTCCTGGTGCCCGGACTATGTGTGTTTAAACATGCTGCTAGATTGGCATCTAGATCCCACCCTTTTACTGTTGAATTAGGTAAATGTAACTGCCACTTTTACTCCAACAGTTTCTTTTCTCGCACTTCCTGCCTGTGGAACTCCCGTTTCCTTGCTTCCCTGATAATTACAATCTTCAAAAATTTAAATGTAATGTCAGTCACCATCTTCTATCTTCTTGAACCCTGTTCAACTGTTATCCTTTCCTCGGTCCCCTCTATGCCCAGTTTTTTCACTCACCTTCTTTCTCTATAACCCCCTGCATACTAGTGGCGTTCCTGCCTTGGGTGAAATGATTATGAAAAAGAAAAAAAAAAAAGCATCTCAAGAATAAGATGCTTTTATTCTAAGAGGTAGTAGGCATTATTATAATGAAGTTGTTATATCCTTTCGTCAGTAAACTTTATCAAGCCCAAACTACTTGATTGCTCTGTTGGCTGGGATTTCAGAATATGCTGTCTACACCTCTGCAGAGAGGTACCCCTTCCCCCCATGAGGCCTGTCCTAGGTATGACAATAAACTACACCTGGCAGCAAGGCCTCTGATTGGGAAGTTTTGAGGAGTGTAGAAATTTAAGTTAATTGCTCTTGTTCCCAGGTCCACCCTGAGCCAAGGAGGTAGCAACTGTTAGGGTCCCAGCTATGGACAAATATTTAACCCCCAAATTGGGGTGAAAACACTATGAAAGAATAAAAATAGATTTTTATAGTAAAAATACCAGCAATACATTTTTTGAAAAAAAAAAAAAAATTACCTGCAATATATTTTTGGGAAAAACAATATTAATACATTCTATTCATACAAACATATCCTAAAAATCTTGACAGTATTAAATAACCCATTGAGGTTAATATGCCGTAAAACAAAATAAACCAAACTACTTGAACCTGTTGTAGAGACTTTAGATAAACTTACTACTTGTGGCTGTCATCCTACTTTCGTTAAATCTAGATTGTTTGCACTGAGTGATTCACATAGATTAGAACTTAGTTGCTTTATTGAGATATATTAGGCAACTATAAACAAAGCAGCTTTATCCTTTGGAGAAATTTTTCTTACAAAAATCATGTTATCTCTTACTATTTAAAACTAAATTTTATAGGTTTGACTCAGAAGCAATATTTACCCGAGGGGATAGGTTAATTAGACTTATAATCATAGATTAATTAGGAAATCCGTACGAGGACTAATTTCTTCTACAATCAATCCCTTGATTTTAAGGACTGTATAATTTATTCAGCATCTCTTAATGTCTGGGACACTTAATTTTGTTATGATTTTTTTTTTTGTTCTTTCTATTTATTTATTATAATTTATACAATTGTCAGTCATTCAGAATATAAAATTCCTGAACTCTTTTATCATTAAGTGGGTTAGTTAATGCCTGTTAGACAACATTCATGTCTGGTCAATGAATGAATAAAGTTGGAGAAATGCATGCCTAAATTGTCACAGTGCCAAATAGATGATTGAAGCCTGAAATATTACATTTTAATTTATACCGACAGAAAGTTGCAACAATCCAAAGAATGCTGCTGATTTTGCTCTATGTACACATGCTGGTTCTGATCATTTTGGGACATTGCAAAAACATTCCCCTCCCCAAATTTATAGACAGAACATAGATGCATGCTGGAATTTCTTCCTAGCCAATAAGATAGGCCACGTTTTGGTCTCAGCCACCATTTTTGTTTTTTCTTGTCTTGAACTCCGAATGCTGTGATCATGTGTCTGTATCCCTTTTGTGTGTTAACGCCATTCTTAGTTTGTGAAATTTTTTTCCTCATTACTGTTGCTTTGTCTACTTAGTATTATTTTTGCCCTGTTCTTTTCTTTCTTTCATTAATGCTTATTGCAAACTTTGTCAGTTCTGTTTGTTGGGCATTTCTGCCAATTACATTTAACTATAGCCAGTTACTATACAGCACTGTTTTCTAGCAGGTAGTAAATAGTCTAATGTTCACACTACAGTCATCTTGTGATGTAATATGCTCATATATGTGCACTGGCTGTATATGAGTTTTCTGTCTATAAATTTGGGGAGGGGGAATGTTTTAGATATATGTTGTGATAAGATTTAGTGTAGTAAAACGCTGTTGTGCAGGTGCCATGCCAGAAATAAACATATTGAGTTAGAACTGTGAGAGGAATTGTGAATCTTTGAGACGCTTCCTTGTAAACAATTAAAAATTAGAATATTCTCATCTTTCTGGGTAATTCATTAATTTCACATTAATTAATAATATAAAATAATAATCATTAATAAATTAAATATTAATAATAATATTTATATAAGAATTACTATCCTCATTGTTCTCATGATCAATTAAGCATTGAAAGGTGAGAATATTCTCCTCCAGTCCAAAGAAAATAAATTACAATGCACATATAGTTATTTAGATAAAATCCTACTAAATGATTCTAATTTAACAAACTTTATTTTTTTGTATTACATTGAAAACCAAATAACTGACTTATGTTTGATCTTCTAATAAATTTATTATTTTAAAAAGTCAACTTCAAAGTAATAATTGTAAATGAAAATATAAATAAGATTTAAGAGAATCTCCTAATGTAAATTCTCCATTGTTTCCCCATCAGATTCTACTGATGGATAATTATATTGTGGTAATTCTATTTTAGATAAGGAAATATAAATTCTTTTGATTCATATTCTGTTTCAGCAATAATGTATAAATATAAATAGCCTTGTGACTGCAGAAGATTTTTTTTTTTTAAATACTTATACACATTTTGGTGCCAATTCTCTTGAAAGACAATTTCAACAGTTTTAAGCTATCATTCTTGGTTCTTTTGATCGGTGACTAATGACGAACAATTATGCTAATTTGTGCAATTGTCTGTCTTTTGGCCACTGATTTTTTTGTTTTGTTTTGTTTTTGTTTTTTTCAAGCAGGATGTCTGCTTAAGGTTCCACTTATCTTTTTTTGCATTTTATTTATGACTTTTTTTTCCTTTTTAAGGCAGCTCTGAAATGGTAATGCAAGTGATGATATGAAGAACTCCTAGCATCTGCTAAACTTACTGTACCACTCATAGCAAGTGGTCTCCATTTACAAGCAGACAATCATTTTGGGAGATTGGATTCATTAACCAACCTCCAGGTGGACCAATGGTGCCTAAAGTAGGAACCATGAACAAAATCCATGATACAATAGCTTCTTATCAAAAAAGAGTAAGTGTTTTCTTTGCCTTTGCTAGAAATTGTCCACATTCAATGTATATACACAATTACTGTAAGGTATGGCTGTAGAGAATGTGTGAGTGGATTAGTTCTTTATACAAACTAGGGTATGTAGTCTACTTTCAAAAGATTCCTTTTTTTAATATTTAATTTTTTTAGTTTTTTACTGAATTTTGAATATCTGAAAGTTTCTTTTATGAGTTTTATCTTTTGTTGTATATTCAAAAGAAAACATTTGATTCCTTATCAAATGTATTTTGTAATGAGACAAAAACTAATTTCCTTTAAAAAATATTCTAAGATCTTAATTCCATTGAGAAGCAGGTTCTTTAATGAGTTGCATACAGGTTCTTGTTGGGATTACAGTGCCTGCAATTTTCCTTATTCATCTTTTGTTAAATATTTCGGTGGCAGAGAAAAACAAAAAAATCTAATTACCAAAATTAGAAAATTAATTTTCTGTCTATATTTCTGAGATGAGGTATTGTAATTATTTACACCATTTACATTGTTTCGACTGTTGTCCTCATCTTCATTGCCATATTCATGACATTTCGGCCATTGTACACTCTGGCCTTCTTCAGGTGAATGGAATCTCGAACTGAACCCTTTATTTCATCCACCAAGGGTAGATTGTTCTAGTTCCATGTGCCATGCCTCTTCTGGATGTCTCGGCATAAATTATCTCTCTTTAACTCAACTCCAAGTTTTTGTTCACCTCAGCTGTAGCCAGGTATTGAACTCACAACTCTTTTGAGTCAAGCAACTGGATTCAACCAATGCTGTTATCCACCAATGATTCAATAATGCTTTTGGAATGAGAACTATCTACCCCGGTGAACAGAACAAAGGATTAAGTTTGAAATTCCAATCATCTGAAGAAAACCAGTGCATTCAATGCCCGAAACATCGTGAATATAGCAATGAAGATGAGGACAACAGTTTGAACAATGTAAATAGTGTTTTTATGCATGCATATGTGTGTGTGAATATTGCCATGTACAAATGACAAGTTACAAAATCCCTTTGCATTTATGCAAATACATACATATAAATTCTCAAATTTTATCTGTAATGTATTCATCTTTAATTTTAATCTAAAGCGATGATTTTCATAATCATTCTGTTCATGTCTTGCAATTACTTTCTTGGTAACTCAAAATGAGAATCATTCATTGTCAGTAACTTTTAATACTTTTTTGGGTAAACACTAAAATGAAACAATAAATCCTGTATTTCCACCATAAAGTAAAAATGAACTTCCCATGTTTTAACCATCCTTACTTCAATTTTTCATTGGATGATGCTCACTCATTACCAATGCAAATATCACTATTTTTCATCAACAACAGGATGATCAAATAATAGAAATATTTTTCTTGTTAAAAACTATTGTTCTAAGCTCAAATATTTTAACAGGCACAAGAGATCTGCATTTGTATCTTAATAAATAGAACAGCTGATAGTTCTCATAAAATAAGCTTCCTTTATTAATGTTTTATCTAATCTTGTGCTTTTCTCTTGTTTTTCATTATAGATTGGTTCCTATGATAAGCAGCTGTGGGAACAATCAGTTGAACAGAAAGTATATAAGGTAATTTACTTATTGGCTTTCATGTTGCTGTTGGCAGATTTGACCTTTTACTTCAGTAGTGTGAATAATGTAGAATCTCTTCTCAAACTGCATGTTCAGCACAATTCGTGTGTTAGTAAAACATTTTTTTTTCTTTTATGAATCTAAAAGTATTCAGTATTTTTTTTTTTTTTTTTTTTAAATTAATTTGGAGAAATCTTTCTGATAGATTTGATGGCGGTACTCAAAAAGTTTCCGTCTAAATTACTTTTCTTTTTAATAATAGTTACAAGTTATTAAAAGAAAAAGTAACTTACTTAGAAAATTCTTGAGAGTGCTGCTATTGAATCTTACTAAAATATAAATCTGTGCCCCAGATTTTTTCAAGTATCTCCTTTCTGTAATAGGTTCCAACATGAATGTCTTTCATGAGGAACTACTATATAAGTAACACCAGTTCACCGGAAGTGTCCTTCTTAGCTTACTTACTCGGCAGTACTGTGTGGCTGGTTTGAATGCAGATAACAGCATGTATTCTAACATTATCTTCTATTAATAAAAGTAATTTAAAGTTACGTCACTATCCTGGAATCTTATTCACTTTCCTACAAGGAATACCTCCAAGTCAACACATGATTAGAGAAATTTTAGAAAACAAAAAGTAAACAGTTAAATTCAAAATCTTGTATTATTTAAAATATACAAATATATAAATTAATTTCTCAAACTAAAATAAAATAATTACATTCTAAAAAAAATTCAACACATTTAATTGCATCACTTAGCAACCTCCATAGTTTACTTTGAGTTTCAGTTAAAATGATGCATATTTATGGATGTTCTGTAAAACTAACATTTTACTTTTGTTTATAAATACTTTTTGCTAAGAAGTTTTCTTTTTATTTTTATCTACACACACACACACACTCAGAGAGTCTGCTATGGATAAATTGTTGTCTAAACTATGCAAAAATGAAAATAGCACTGATATCTCATTTTAACAAATATATTTACCAAAATTACACAAAAATACCTTGAAATACTAAACAGACGACTTTGGAATCTACTGCAACTCTTTTAGAAATTCTCCTTGTTTAAATTGGCGAATGCTGCCATAATCCTTGCCTTCAGTTTATCTTTTGTGTTACAAGAAATTTTGCTAGTCTCTCACTCAACTGTGCCCCACACATAATAATCAAGGTGGTTGCATTTTGAGGATTTTGGTGGCCAGATGTAAGGGGTGATGTGGTCACAGAAATTGCCTGACAGCCATAACTGGGTTCTCCTACTTGTGTGGCATGGTGCAGAGTCCACTTGCCAGAAAAAAAGGTCTTCCAGCAGCCACCTTCTTGACCCAGGGCAGCACTAGCTCTTCAGGCACTTGATGTAGGCCTCCATATTGACTCTGTGGGAAGACAAATGAAGGCATAAAATCGCCATAACTAGTGATCACTCCAAACACCTTTGTAATCCCCATTAGACTCATCCAACCTTTTCCAAATCCTCTGCATTGTTCTCAGATTGACACCTAAATACTCGGAAATGTTTGTATTGGAGCTTCCGGGACGAATGCCAAGCAGTACAGAATGCCATTTCCAAATTTCTGGCAGAGTGAGTTGCATCATAGTTTTCTTTTTCTACACAGTGCCCAACTGACCCTACTATACTGTGCAGTCAACAAAATCAAAAAGAAACAATGCACATGCCCGAAATAAAAAAAAAGATAAAATGGCCACAATTTACCTATTGCACTCTGTAGCTGTATAAATGAACAAACAGAATTTGACTTAGAATTTGTGTAAAAATTTGATGTAGCAAAATCTGAACACAGTTCTGGTTTACAAGTGTTTAATACATGTTTATAATTTTATTGAAACTTTTGCACTTGGCAAGGTTACAAATTGAAATTTGATGTCTGTGATTTCTACCTCAGAAAAAGGAGTGATGAGTTGTGTTTATTAGTAAAGACAATAATTTGAAACCATATTTCTATTGATATATTTGTTTTTTCCTTTTTAATAAAATTCTAGCTTCTTAATGTGAAGATTGATTCTTTATTGTTTCTTTTATTGTATTCTCTTCACAACAGTGAGAAATTGTTCACATGGCAATGAATAAGAAAATGTGAATTTCTTTAAAATTTAATGTACTAAATGCAGAGAAAAATGCATGTTTTAGTGCTTACTGATTTCACACATTTCAAATTGAAGGTGATTTTTGTTCTTCAACAAACCTAAAATTTTATAAGGTGCAAGCATTTTCAAGCTGAAACCAGGCTTGTTATAAATAAGGCAAGTAGTTCAAATGGTTCTGCATATTGTGCCTTATAGTATTTAATAAAAGTAAACAATTATGTAAAAACAATTAATCTAATTTTTTTATCTTGTATTAAAGATTTATTTCAGAGATTTCTTAATGTTGGTAAACATTTTTATATTTATGATTTATTTTTAGAATAATTTAATATCTTGGCAAGCAGTTATTTCATTGTTTTTTTTTAAAAAGTTGATCAAATTTGTTTTATTAATTAATGTCAATAAGATTAGATTCATTCATTACTTGGAAGAGCTGAATTGTGTGTGTGTGTATGTGATATATATGTGTGTGTGTGTGTGTGTATTTGGGCAGCAACCTTCTTTTATACAAGTTTCATTAAAGACAACTGGCAAGGTACTGCAATTAAGCTTTTTATTCAATTTTTCTTGTGTTTGAGTGTTTTTTTTTCTGGACATAATCTATGTAAAAGTTATCCAAATGTTCTGTATATTGGAGCAAGATTCAAATTACAGAGAACCATTATTATTTATGAATTCACATGTCCATTAAGAAACTGTGTTCCTGATCAAACCAACTTCATGAATAATTATATTGAACATACCACTACATTCCGACCAAGAAGCTCGTTATGTCTCTCTGACCATGGCTCAATTAGGACTCATTTAAACACACGCACAGATCTACCAAGCTCCATTGACAACATACTCATAGCAAATACAACTATAATAACCTCATCCACATGTTTTAAAAAAAAAAAAAAAAAAAGGCTAAAAATAATGGCAGCATTAATAATAAAAAGAAAAAGCCCACACTCAATAAGATCAACTATGAACATGGCCACAATGTGCTGACTGAGTTTGGAAAATAAAAAAAACATTCCCATAACTTTAGATACATACATTTTAAAAAAAAAAATCTACATATTCATTTAAAAATAAAAATCATCCTTGATAATAGCTGAAAGAATAGCTGAAAGCACTCGGTTATACAGAACAAATGGAACAATTTTTACATACTTTATGTCCAAAAAAAGAAAATGCTCATATGAACACAAGAAAAATTTAATAAAAAAAATCACAGTACATTGTCAGTTGTCTTTTAATGAAACTCATATAAAATATAAAAAGAGAACACAGTATTTATGTTTTACTGTTACATGTAACTAAAAGGTTTCATGTGGGCCCCATAGAGTTGGTCAATGTTACAGTCACACAATCATCAGGTGGAGAAAGAGGCAATAAGACACTCATTCAAAAAAAAAAGGTTCCCTTCTTTGATTGATAATTGTGTGACTGGAACATTGACCAATTCTATGGGGCTACATGAAACCTTTTAATTTCATGCTACAATAAAATATAAGTACTGAGTTCTCTTTATATATTTTATATTTGCTTTTTATTTTATGTATATTTTATATACCTACATTGAGCATTTTGTTTGTAGAGCCTATGAACTTTGACTTTTTACACACATATATGTGAGCACCTTTTAAAGAACAGTAAGTGTGCAGCTGAATTCACTGTTGACTGGTTAACTGTTTTGTCCCAGTCACGCTCTTTATTTTGTCTAAAAGTACTAGAGTCACTGTATATCAAGTCTTGCAAACTGTCTCTCTCTAAATAGCATGATTGTTTGCTAGGGCTTGCTATCATTAGTCTCTAGTACTCCACCCCCACCGTTTTTTTTTCTCCCTTCTCTATCCTCTTATCAATCATTTGCTAATTTACATTTATTGTAATTTTTACTCTTTTTCTACTGATTAAAAACTTCAAAACTGGTCATTTTCTTTTTTTTTTTTATACAACAATACTCGAGTTCTGTACCACTAAGAATATTTTTATATATTTAGTTGGATTGATATGAGTTTATGTTAGCTCTATCATTGATATTGAGCACTTACCAATAAGTACCATGCATATATAATATATAAATAATATATATATGAAAAATTGCATATATACAGTAGCGCGCGTAAAGATCAGAACAATATTAAGAAAAAGTCTAAATATGAAATAACTTTTTTTTTTTTTTTTTTTTTAAAGCTTCAAAGAACATTTTATCAAGGAAAAATAAGTATATAAAGGTAAATTATATAATTACAAAATATAAAACTCAATAAACTTATTTTGATAAAGTTATAAGAATAATTATATAACATTCGAAAAAAAAAAAAGATGATCAAGACCATCAAAATGATTAAATAATTCCATAAAATTTAATAATTATTTTGGATTATTGAAAATTTTTTAGGGTAAGAATTTGGAGGAGGAAGTGTGATGGTATTTGGCATGATTTCAGCTGCGGGTATGAGACCTCTTGTTAGGCTACATGGTAAAATTAATGCAACTGTATACAAAGAGATATTGAAGAAACATGTTGTACCTAATTTGAGAACTACAATTAATCAACCGGCTGTATTTATGCAACATAACACGCCGTGTCACACAGTGAAGTCTGTTAAGACATTTCTTTCTGAGGAGGATGTTACTGTTATGTTACTGTTACTGCTCAAACCCACAACATAAATCCTATTGAAAATGTTTGGAAGTTACTAAATGAAAGAGCTAAGGAAAAGAATCCAACAAACATCGAAGAACTATGAACTAATTTGAAAGGAGAATGGAAGAAAATATCCGTTAATGAATGCAAGACATTAATTCGCTCATGTAGCAAAAGATGTCAAGCTGTTATTGAAAGTAGAGATTTACACATCAAGTACTTATGAATTATGAACGCTATTTTCATTTGGATATGATGTATCCATTATAATAATATGATTTTGTTAATTGTTCTGATGTTTTTGATCATCTATTTTTTTCGAATGTTATATAATTATTCTTATAACTTTATCAAAATAAGTTTATTGAGTTTTATATTTTGGAATTATATAATTTACCTTTATAACCTTATTTCCTTGATAAAATGTTCTTTGAAGCTTTAAAATAAAAAAGTTATTTCATATTTAGACATTTTCTTAACATCATTTTGATCTTTATGCTCACTACTGTGTGTGTGTATATATATATATATATATATATATATATATATATATATATATATATATAGTTTATGAAAAACTAGGTAATCCGTATGGGTAAACCTATGGTGAAATAATTTATTACATGGAACCTTAAAGTGGTCCTGTTTTATTTAATATATATATATATATATATATATAATTTTTAAAGTTATTGGTTTGTTTTTATATAGTTATTTACTAAACCTAGTTTAGTCTTGTACAAGACTATAACAGTGGAGCACCTAGTGTTGAGAATTTAATTTACTGATTCTTGCTCATTGAAGATGATCCAATATATGAGAATTCTTTGACCTGAAGTGTATGTATTTTTTTTTCCGCTTCATCTTCCTTCAGTCTATTAGTCATGTACCAAGAAGAACTGGACGAATGAAGACAGAATTCATAGATGTAGACTTAGTCCGAGGTAAGTGGATTTCTTGACAGTATTTTTCTTATTCTTCAGGATTTGGTGCTACTTGCTGCTCTAATAAAACTCACTGTACACCATGAATGTGGATGGGACCTTTATAACCACACAAAAAATCCACATATCTTTTCAGATCAATTCTCTTTGAAAGAGGAAATAGTCTTGCATTTTGTTATAAAATATGTAACTTCACAAAATAGCAATGTGCTGAAAACTCGCTTTTTGCTTTCATGACTGCATTATCTGAATTTTGTAACACAGATAATTCTTATGTGTTGGATAAAACTTCTATTAGTGTTCTCACTAGCTTGCTAGAAGGAGGGGCTGGATTCGTACATTTCTCAAGGGTATTGAACAAAGCAATTTATTCAAACCAAAAAGTAGATTGTTCTCATCCCACATTCTATATCTTGTATCAGCTGTCTTTAGTCTTTTTACTTTTGTGTTGCTTGTCCATTTCTTTCACAGAACTCTATCTGACACAGGATTGAATGCATAACTGTCAGAATAGCAGATATGTTTTAACAAATGCTTTAATCAGCCAGTGGTTTATTTTTGTTGCTGTAAACCTAATATCTGTACTCAGGTAGTAGAAAATCTTTGTGTACTTTATTCAGAGGCACCAAGATGGTGTTCATTTTTCTACTTGGTCAACTGAGATTTTCAGAGCCTAACATGTACATTAATTCTTGTAGTTATCTTACCGTTCAGTGTTCTGTTTATTATCTTGACTTCATTTTTACAAGGTTTGATGATCACCCTTTATCAGCCGAGTCCAGACTGAAACTTTTTGATACCCACCCCCTCTTACTTTTAGTGAAAGCTGGACTTGTATTCTTAGCCACAATTGCATGGAATGGAATATATTCTTTTTCTTGTTGATTTTTTTTCCTACCAAGAGAGGTTTGATTTGAGATAGATATCTGAAGGATTGAACTGCTTTTGAATATTGTTTTGATGTTGTATCAACTGCAGATCTCCTGGATCTTTTTTTTTTTTTTTTTTTGAACCCCCTTATGGTAGATAGATTTTTAATTGTTGTCTTGTCTTAAGCTGATTTTATGCTTGCACAGTAATTGTTACCTTGAAGGTCATTTCTAATACTGATCATCTCCTGTTGGTATGTATCTGGACCACCACATGAATTTGTTCAATGTTATAGACAGGGACAATCTCTTTCCAGTATAGATGGTGGAAATTGAAGTTCAGGTATTATCTGGTCAATGTTTGTTAGCTTATGTTATATATATGTCTTGAACTGATGCTCTGTGTGAGCTATTAGTCCACCCAGGAAGGTCAGTTGATCTTTTGATTCATTTTTCATTGTCAACTGTATAAAAGGTTTTATCAAGTTCATTTCTTTTTTTTCTTTTACTTAATGTTATGTCCTTTCAGGACATAGGTGATCATAGATCTCCACAGATTTTTTGTTACCTGTGAATTGCCATGAGTGATCTGCCATTGCCTTTGCCACAAACTGGAATTCATTTTTTTCTCTTAGACTGGCTGCCACCCAAGGCTGTAGACACTAGTCTACAATTTATTTAATCCATAGCTGGAAGGAGAAAAGATTGATTCATTCCTTCCCCAAAGGCATTAGTGTGAAAGTGAACACAATAGACTAGGCTGGAACCTGAACACAGCTCTCTGATTTCATTTCCTGTGTCAATAACTATTAAACCATCTGCACATCAGTCATATTGAATGGAAAAGCATCTGATAATGATAATTCTTTACAAATTCCAGTATGAGTTTAATAATTTGAATGTGCTTTCATATTTCAAGCAGTCTTTTCTATTGTTTGTTCATGGATCCCCCTAAAAAAAATTTAGGACTAACAACGCTTTGCTAGTTGTTTTTTTTTTTTTTTTTTTTTTTTTAAAAAGTCTTTTTAATTTTAATTCACAGATCACAAAACTGATTTCTTGCTATCTTTTTATAATGTGTTATGTTTTTTAATAAATAATTTAATAATCAACTATTATTACAAACAAATAACCAAGCAATAATATCACTAGAAAGAACCCCTAAGCACTGTACTCAGTATGCTTTTGATCACAGATTGCAAATCATATTTGAAATTATCCTTTTAGCTTTTTCTTATATCATTGAAAAACTGAAACATTTCTTAAATTCTTCTTAGTATTTTTAAACTTTATTTAAATGAAGATTTTATTCTTTTTTTTTTTTTTTTTTGGATAATTTTTCTTCAGAATATATTTTATACAAAATTGTCAAGAAATATAACGATATAATGCACTCTATTTACTATCAACACTGAACTGTAAAACACTGTTTTATAGAAAATAACTAACAATATGTTAGTGCTTTATTTTATTTCTATCTGTAAAGACGACATGGAGCATATGTTATCTAAAGATGTTATAAACATGTGGCATATCTAAAGATGGGTATCAATGACTAGTGAAAGAGAAATGGTCTCTACATTTATTTACCAAGAGAATTTAAGCTGTTTTCTTGTTACGATGCATTAAATTTTAAAACTATAGAAGACATTTACAGTGCATTGTACATAGAATCTGAAATGAAATCTGTTTTCTTATCTTTCGACAGGTTCGACCTTTACTAAAGCAAAACCACAGGTGCCTTGGACTCGCATTACACAGAGGGCTGTTTTAAGGGTTGTCTTCTTTCCATTTTATTACAGATGGTAAGTTTTGTAACAATCAGGATTGATTGTTATGGAAATGAATAAATGCTCCCAACATTTCAAAACCATTACAATAAATTAAAGAAATTGTCAAAAACAATGACTAGTTTAAAATCATATCATAATTTCTGTTTACAGTGAAAATCTTGCCTTAATTTATTTCCTTCATTTTGTTTAGAAAACCACTCTCTGAGTGGTAACTTATAAGAATAAATATTAGTTCAGAAGGCACAAACAATAACTGATAATCACAGGACAGAATAACAATAATCAACAGATATGACATATCAGTCAAACAAAGTAGGTTCAAAGATAGAGCCCTGGTAGAAAGAGATGGCATCAAACCAAAACTTTAGCCTAAGATACTACACCCCAATGTTTGCTATTCTTATCTAAAACTTAACAAACTCTTCAGTAATAACTGTTAAGACATCAGCGGTTGACCTACAGAAGCAAAAAAACATATTGTTGCATGAAAGAAGATCGTGTGAAGTGAGACGTTTAACCAATTCAGTGCAGATTGTCTAAATGCCATTAATGATTGAATAAAGAAATTTTTGTTTTCTCTTCTTCATCAGGTGGATACAGCAGACATCAGCATCATTCTGGCTTGCTATGCTTGTTCTCTACACATCGCAGCTGCTGACAATGGTCATTTACATCAGTAACGCTGGGGAGTACCTTAAAACTGATGTAAGTAAACAAAGATGTTGGTCTTTTAATCTATTTAATCTCTTACTGGTTCCAAATGAAATGTTTTGACACTTTATATAAGTTGTGTAACATTCTGTCAAATTCTCCACTGGTAGGAGTGAATACAAATAAATTGTTAAATGCTTAGACAGAAATAAATTCACTTGTAACATTTCATTGAAGTAAGACTAAAATATCTGCATTAAATCTTTTCAAACAATTTATTTCTTTAGAAGAAAAAGTGATATTGAATATATATTTTTCATAATTTTACTTGTTGTTTTTTTAATATGATCCCTTATAAAAAAGAAAAATTAAATCAGCACAGTTTCCTATGCCAGAAAGAGATTTTGATATTCAGATATGTGAAATAATCTTATTGCAAAATTAATAATAAAAAAGGACATCTGCATTGCAGTCAAGATTATCAGGTGCAATATGCACCCAAGAAAAGGTCAAACAATGCATCAGCTGAAATGTGATTAAAAACAATGAAAATAGAATAATGACAATGCTTTGTCTCGACTATTGTGATAGCATTGAAAATATTTTCCTTGATTATAGGTTTAAATTATATTTAAGTTGTATTGCATCAGAATTTTTCTGAACCTCACACAAAGAAACACTAATGTATAAATTATTTTTTTTTTCTTTTACTTCCTTTTCTCTTGATTACTGAAGCAAACAATCCAAAACATTTAAATTCAGTTGTTTTCTGCAAATTTTAAAAATTTTACTTCCCACTTCAATTATCAAATTTTTATTGTACAGATTTGTTAAAATAGACTATTTCCTCTTCAAGATTTTTTTTTATAACACATTTTATTTCTATTTTATTTTTGTGAAATTATAAAACTTTTTTATTTATTGTGTTGAATCAAATTTTGGAGACTGGACATTGCTTTTACAAAGACTTTCAGTTTAGCAAAAAGCTAAACTGATTGCTGCATTCTAAACAATGAATATAAAATTATTGTTGCATAATCTGACACTAATCCTGTATTACTTTTACTTTGGATTTTGTTTATGATTTTCTGTTGCTATTGTATCTGATTATTGAAACCTAACAAAATACAAGTCATGGGAACTAATCAACATTGACTCTAAAGCAAATAGGCCAACTTTGTTAATCAAACATTTAAACAATGAATACTACTTTCCAATAATGACAACCAAAATATTTAAAATCTTAAATTCATTCTAATTTAGAAGAAATTCATTAGGAAAAAAATAGTGAATATAAAACTTACTTCAATAAAGCCATGGTTATTTGGTTAGTTTGTGGAAAGCAGGTCAGGCTAAAAACGTTTTAGAACTTGTGTGTGTGTACAGACACATATGGTCTATGTAGATAAACATGGTTCATGGGAGGTAAATGCATAAAAACATAAAGAGTAGAAACAGGCTTTGCTTTCTGGAACTGTTCTCCACACTGAAGAATGCATCCATGAACCAAAAGTAAAAATTTCAGCTAGAAAAAAGAAATGTATTGACTCAACTGTGATGCAGTGGATCTGTGATGAATGTGGGCGAGCTGGGCTGAAAAGTCATATTAGGAGCCATGTGCAAGGATATCAAATGAAATATGTTACCGTAGGAATTAAATTATACCTTTTGTCATAAGCAATGTAAAACTAATTCTGATTTCAGCAGACATGAGAAAGTAATATCAATCATGAAAACACTGGATACAAACAAATATTCAAAATAAATTTGTCAATAAGATAAAAGAGCTTTTCAACGCTCTTCTAGTTTTTCAGAGTCATAGCAGAGCATATGAGCAAGCAGTGGCAGCAGATACATAGTTATGATGCAGAGATAGGTGTCCCCATATCTGAGTGAACTATATATATATATATATATATATATATATATATATATATATATATATATATATATATATATAAGACATTTTATGTTTATACATTCTTTTATAGATACAAATATTTAAGTAAATGCTCTGTTTATAATAAAAAAATAATTGTTGGACTTTGTCCATTTCATAATGTGTGACGTCATTTATTTACATTTGGATATGCTTTGAGCAGATATGAATGTACGTGAGAGATTCATTGAAGATTGTAGTTTAAAGGCAGTAAAATCGACCTTGCTAACCGAATGATCCTCTGTAGCTCAATCAGTTAAGGCACATCAGGCTATATGACGGTTCCGTATAGGATACAGGTTCGATTCCTGTCGAAGGACGAATATTTTCTATGAAAATTTTCTCGGACATTCAGGCCGGTAAATGTTATTAATACTGTTTATTATAAACAGAGCATTTACTTAAATATTTGTATCTATAAAAAGAATGTATAAACGTAAAAATGTCTTTAAAACAAATAATTGTCAGACTTTGTCCATTTCATAATATATATATATATATATATATATGATACAAATATAAAATTTGTCACTTAGCTGATTGATGTTACTTTTTTTAAAATTTGAACGATTGAAGAAATTTTATTCACATGTCAACTTATAAATTAAAAAGTTCTTTTGATCCATAGTCAGTGGTGGGTGAGTTTACATTTTTTTTATTTCTGCCATAGGCAGCTAGAAAATGTACAAATATGTGAATGACTTCTAGACATTTGGCCAGATGTCATCAAATTTGTGAACTTAATTAAAAAACAGAAGTATTTGCCCATAGCTTGGACACTAACAGGTGCTACTACCCCAGGTCAGTATGAGCCTGGGAACAGCAATTAAGAGGTGGTTCCACAGTCCTCAAAGCCTGATCTGAAGCCTTGCTGCTGGGTGTAGTTTATCATCATACCCAGGATGGTATAAATTTGGGAGAGAGGAAGTTCTTAGAAGTCCTTACTACAGAGATTAGAACCAACACTCTCTCCTCAATCAAATGGATGTGTGCACTTATATTCCCCCCACCCTTATCCCCACCTATATAGGGATCAATAAATATAAACAAGATACAAGATACATATAAATATTTACAATTGTTTTTGCATTTTTAAGAGTTTTTTTTTAAATATCTCAATTTTTTTTTTTTCACATCACAAAAATTTTTTTATTTTACAGTTTTATTTTATTTTTTCTAAAATTTTTTTTTATTTTTAAGTTACTAGTTTATATATATTTTTATCTCTACAAGGGTAGAGAAAAAAGTAGCAAACAAAAAATTTAGAGCATTAAAAATTTACTTAATTTTACTTTGCTGATATGCTTTGTAAAATAAATCACCAATATTTTTGGTCTGACAGAAATTTTCATAGAAAATATTCCTGTTGGAGGACACATATTTTCTATGAAAATTTCTTGGACATTCAGGCCGGTAAATGTCTTTAATACTGTTTATTATAAACAGCATTTACTTAAATATTTGTATCTATAAAAAGAACGTATAAACATAAAAAATGTCTCAAAATAATTGTTGGACTTTGTCCATTTCATAATGTGTGACGTCATTTGTTTACATTTGAGCAGATATGATTGTACGAGAGAAAATCATGGAGAATTGTAGTTTAAAAACAGTAAAATTGACCTTGCTAACCAAAACGCTCGCGGCTCAATCAATCAATAATATATATATATATATATATATATACACACACACACACACACACAATTTTGTTAAATAGAATATACAAATTGTTTATTTTGAAATATTTTTCTTTAATTGACTGATTGAGTTTCACGTATTAGAATTGAAAGTTTCACAATCCATGTCAGTTTTTCTAATATTTCATGCATTTGACTTCAATTATTCTCATGAATCAGTCAGTTTGTTACAATCCTGTAATGACTATGTACCTCAGTTTTAAATTATGATACATTAGTTTTAATTTTTGAATGTGTTCAGTATCACGTGAACATGTTATTTTTTAATTTAAATATATGTGATGTCATGTGAATGCATTGTCTTATGCATTTTGAACATTTAAATACATTTTATATTGTGTTCCTGAATTATAAGTGCATTTTTTAATTACTGATTGTTTTAAGTAGCTTCTAAAATTGACAAAAAAAATGATAAATAGATTCTAAAATTTAATCTTTTTTTGCAGCTTTAAGTGTCATTGTATTTTCAACATGGATCTGTCTTATATAGTAATATAGTATTTGTCTTATATAGTAATATAGTATTTGTCTTATATAGTAATATAGTATTTGTCTTATATAGTAATATAGTATTTGTCTTATATAGTAATATAGTATTTGTCTTATATAGTAATATAGTATTTGTCTTATATAGTAATATAGTATTTGTCTTATATAGTAATATAGTATTTGTCTTATATAGTAATATAGTATTTGTCTTATATAGTAATATAGTATTTGTCTTATATAGTAATATAGTATTTGTCTTATATAGTAATATAGTATTTGTCTTATATAGTAATTTTATGTTTGCTAAAAATAATAATTAGAAACCATAAAATGTGTTTGGGGGAGGTGCCACGCCTGCAATAAACTAAGTAAAATTCATTAAGCTTGAGTAAAAGATGAGATCTTCTTCAACCTACCCAATTGCGACAAGGGCAGTATGCAAATTTTATGGTTTTCTAAAATTTACAAAATTCTAAAGAAGAATTCTTATGTTTATTTAAAATACTATCAAATCTCAAACATTTATATTTTACCAAATCCAATATTAGGGTCTTGGAATGACTGCATTCTACAAAAGAAGTCATCTGTTTTTGAGACAAAGAAAGGTTATGAAAATCCTATTGAAAAACATGCTATAAATCAATGCCAGAAATTTGTCAATTACTTATATAGACCAACCAATACTCAGTGGGGACATAAAGATACAGAGAGAACAAATGACAAGATAGGTGAAGCCTAGTTTTAATCCTTTTTTCCTCTTCCAGCTGCTGTTACTGCTCTGAGGTGTCTCCATTTATTACAAATTACTGCTAGAATAATTTTCCTGCTGAAAGGCTGTCAACCAGGCTACATAGAAAGAGTAATAATTCTTCATTCCTTATATACTTTTAAATTTTTCAATTTCTTGACATTAAACCCATTGTTAGATATCAATAGAGTTTATTGGTTTGTGCCTTGAAATTATTTTCCAGCAAAGAAGTTAGCATGGCTGTGAGGATTTCACACCTGAAATCTTGGCAGAATAACAGCAACCACCGGGTGAATCCCCATAGAATAGGGTTTCTTCCCATTTTGCTGATGTCAACATGTTATAACTGTGAAGATCAAAAAACACTGCCAGCTGATAATCCTGAGAATATTAAGTTTTTGATTGTGGCACAATAGGTCCCCCATACAACTGACTGAACACACACACACACACACACACACACACACACACACACACAAAGTGAAGTGGGGCCCTAAATGATTAGAATTAGAAGTGTTGTCTTTTTTTTAATGGCTGGAAGATAGTCTTTAAAGTTGAATGAAGTTTAGTGCTCAAAGTGGCAATCCACTTGAGCAAAGGGAAAGAAAATAAAAAGCAAATAAATGAAAAAGATCAAGTGGCACTTTGTTGGAAACCAGATGTTTCTGCTTACAGTCTTATATAGAGTCCCAATTATGACAAGAGAGTAAGAGTTGTCTGTCCAGCCAGTCATGTCAATAGCAGTCACTCAGCTGAAGTAAGAAGAGTTGAAATGGACTTATATGCCACCTGCCTACTACGAGAGAACTTCATTGAAATAAACACCAAACTGTTGAGAAACAAGATTGTCTTCATTTTTGCTGTTGATTTCATCTTCCATTACTTGTGAATGTACTGCGAGTCTTTTCCAGTCTTTGTACACACTTTGGAATGAATGAGAAGCAAAACACAATTTGGGGATTGATTTGTCCAATCGGTGAAAGACAGAGAAGGACCTCTTTGTATGTTTACAGATAGCACTGGGACAGTCAATGACAAATGAACAAGACCAGATGCAGAGAAGCAGTACAGTGATGGTATAGGCAGATAGGTTATAATTTAATATTAATTCATTTTAGAGAATGACTAAAGCTTTTCGTTGAAAGCTTTAAATAAACTGACTTGAACTGTGAATAGTTCCTTCATACTTTCAAATAGAAAAAAAGATTTTAAAAAATAAACTGTGTCTAGAGATTATATGCAAAAGAGGTATTGTCATATATTTTATGTAAAATTCATAGATATGTGTTATCCAATGAAATAATTTGTACTATTATGTATAGTGAGTAAGCATGAAAGCAATTAAGTCCCAATTTTCAATTTCAGACTGATATTTAGTATCTTTTCAGCAATTATAGCAATTTGCAGTATCAAGAGATTATTTGCAAGAACTAGAATTTAGTATTATGGCTCGTAAAAAAGAACCAACAATGAATGAAAAGAACTATATAATCAAAGAAATTAGCAAAGGAAAGTCTTCGCTTCAAATTTCTAAGGATTTGAAAAGGGATCATCGAACAATTAAGAAAATATGTCAAATGGGAATTCAACCAAGTAAAAAAAAAAAGTCTCAGGCTGAATTCAGGAATTTAACAAAGCGATATCTATCACATATCTGAAGAGAATTAATAAGAATCCCAAATGTGTCAAGTGCGTTCATATTTGAGGCCGCTGGAGCTCCTATGGTGTCAAGGGAAAAAAGGTGTTAAGCATTAAGGAAGTTTGCTGATGTAAAAAATGAAATAAAGAAACCCATTTTAACAAAAAAACATAAGGAAAGAAGATTACAGTGGGCAAAAAAATACATGAAAACTGATGTCAGTAAAGTGCTTTTTACAGATGAATCAAGGATCACCCTCGATGTGCCCGATGGATGGGCTCGAGGATGGGTTTGCAAGCAACATGAGTCAAGAAAATGTTTTAAATGCCAACAAGGCGGTGGTGGGATCATGATATGGGCTGGGATTATTGATAATGAGCTCGTGGGTCCATTTAAACTGAAAGACTGGGTTAAAATGAATTCCAAAAGTTGCTGTGAATTTTTAGAGCATTATTTCTTTGAATGGCTTGATAACCAGTTTTTAGCCAAGCGTAGATCTATGAACTTTATGCAAGACAACACACCAAGTCATGCATCAAAGTTTACTAAATCCTGGTTGAAAGAAAAGGGATTTGTTAAAGATTCTCTTATGGACTGGCCTTCAAATAGCTGTGACTTGAATCCCATTGAGAACCTGTGGAGCATCCTCAAGAGAGATATTTATTCTAATGGAAGGCAATTCAACAGCAAGTGTGACCTCTGGGAGGCAGTTAAAGTTGCTGCAAACAACTTAACAGCCACTAAAATTGCAAATCTAACATTAGATGTTGACAATAGGCTGCTAAGAGTTATTGAAAAGAAAGGAGCATTTGTGCAATAAATGTTAGGAGGTTCTTATTATTTTTTGTTAATATATCTTTTATTTTTAAAATAAAATGTTTTTTTTTATGTTTTTCCTTTAAGAAATTGACGAATTTGTTCTAAAATCTTTTCATATTATTTTTTTACATTAGTTTTACAAGGTATAATAATGTAAAAGTATCAAAATAAATAGTTGCAAATAAACTACTGACAGTCAAATTAGTCTGTTTTGTTAACCTCGTAAAATTTTTTCCAACCAAAAACAATAGTTTTCTCTATCACTATATATCTAAGTTAATAATATTGAGTAGAATCTAAACAACATCATAATATGACTTTTAACTTTAAAGACGCAACTCTTTATACCAATTCATAACTTGCATATAATCTCTAGACGCAGTTTATAATACGTCCAATTTGTCTATTCTGTTTAAAAAAAACATGTATAAATAAACATTTGCACACACACACACACACACACACACCTGATAGGATTATTGAGGTAGCATATGAAATGCAGCTGTAGTAGCAGTGGGTGTTTTGAATTTGCAACATGTGATATGAACCCCAGGTTAAAAAAAAAAGGAAAGATGGATTCACTCACATGAACAGGTGCCAACGAATAACAAAGACAAGATGAACATTTGTAAATAATTTTATATGACAAAAACAACAGAATGTGAAAAAGTATGGGATAGCCGATGTAAAATCAATAAAAATTGCTTATCCGATACTGGGTGTCAGTTCAAGCATTCGTGTTTCATGAATTTTTAAGTTCAAATGTTCATAATGCCAAATAGACAGAATCTCTTCAAAATGTCTGCATAAAAGTCGGTAGTTTTTCTTTTCCATGGTATAAGTTGGACGACTCTGGAATGGTACAAGTACTTTTTTTCCCCTCTGGTAATCGAATTACATCCAAGATGAAATTGGGATGATTTATCCAGGCATAATATTCCTTTATTCTCTATGCATCAATTAGTTGAATAAATCCACAGTCTTTGGGAATAATATCTTTTTTTTTTTTTTTCCACTACACATGAAATAGTTGAACAAATCCAGGATCTTCAGAACTGATATTTTCTTATTCCTTGCACAACAAATAATAGAATAACTTCACTCTTATGATCACATAATGAGAATTGATTTTCTCACAATCTATTGTGGTCGGGAAACTGAAATTACAATACAAATATCCAACTTGGTGGTGCATCTCACATGGGCTTGAGTGACCAACTTTTACTTACTTCATTAGGAGGTCAAATTGTCTCATTGTCAAGGAACACAGATTCTTTCTGACCATTTTTCAGTTGACAAGACTCGGGTAAGGTCGGAATTAAAAAAAAAAAAAAAAAGTAAAAAAAAGAAAGAAGAGGAAAGAAAGAAAGCATGTCCCTTAATAAATAGATCATATGTCTAATTTACCATTCAACATTAAGGGCGATATCACAGTATGTCTAAATGGAAGTCAGAAGAGCTGTCACTGAAGATGCATGCTGGCTGTGTGCAGTGAAAGATGTGCAGCCCATCAACTTGGTGGCACTTGATGCCATGCTAAAAATAGTCAACCTAGTACTCCAGTGGGTAAACCAAAATGCATCTGTTTGTGTCATGTGTGGTGAGTATTCAGCATGCTCCATTGAAAAACCCAGAGTACACACAAAAGCTGCAAGTGAAATGCTCATTTGAAGATGATTCTGTACTCTGGAGAAGTTAGTGCATGAGTATGGATTGTCTGTAGATGTGACATTGGTCAGATCAGACTAGACCTGGACAGAGAAATTGACGAGAGTCCCACTAAAATGGCTACATGTAGTAAAAACAGAAGTTGCATCTATCTGCACTGCATCAGCAGATGCACGAGGCCTCGACCTAATAAAGACTGTACCCTACCAAAATGAACACCCCAGCATACATTATACTTTGTAGAATAAATTCATCCTGTAGTTTTGAAGGCTGATGTCATAGTTGGTCATCAGGGAAATACAACAGATGCCAGTCAATTAACACAACCCCATTATGTTGACTACGAGGTGAGCTGAATTTGATTGATGCATGGAATCGATTTAGAATGAACATTACCCACTATAATGGAATGTACTACCAAATGCTTATTGACTGGCCCTAGCCGATAGGTAGTCTGGCAACATCAACAGAATTCAACAAATCCATAAAATAGCATTACTTGTAATTTTTTGGTATATTTTCTGTTATACTTCCCAATAGGCATGTGAGAAAATTGACATTATACTTATTTATTGCATATATTGAAGCTTCAATTTTGTTTTGAAGAGAATATTTTACAATAATCATATTAAAGTCATGTTTGCTATCCAGTCAACCTAGCCAGAAAGATAAAAAGTAATTTCAGTATCTGTCTATATTTAGTCCAAATAATGTAAATAGTGACAAAGTAATTTGTATTATCCTCAGATACTTTGACATGACTCGTTCAAACCTGATTGTTTAACAAATTGACATCTTTTTTTTTTCTTTCTTTCTTTATGGCAAATGATTGTTTTCATGTATTTTACTTCTTTCAGAGTGTTACACTCAGTGAGGTATCATTCCCTGCTTTACTGATGCTAATTTTGGGCCTAATGCATTCTCAGACTGTGTTGGCTCATTTCTCCCATAAGCCAAATAACAGAGATGGCCTCAAATCTTCACGGTAAATCTTTTCTTGATTCTCATAGGATTTCGCATTCAGACATTTTTTTTCATTTTTGGACAATTGTTTCCTATAAAAAAGAAAGTTAATGTTAATAAGAAAGAAAAATAGTTTTTTTACAATTTTTAGATAAATGGTTGTTTTTCTTTAGGAGTTGGTAAAACATTGAGACATTATTATTATTATTATTTTTGTCTGTAATCACTCTGCAAAAAGTTTTCACCTTTTATTTCTACTGTTAAATTCAGTTTTCTTTTCTGAAATGTCTGACATTATTCTCATTTTCATAACTGTCGTTTTCAAATTTTTTTTTATTAAAATTAATCAGAAATATTTCTTAATTTATTTGCTATCCATAACCTGTTTAGCTTTAGAGATAGCATTTGTGATGATCTGGTGGAGGGAGGGAGCCATTAAAGACGACTCGGATATGATAGAATTTTGAGCTTGTTTGATTGATTTTCTTCATAACAGTAATTGTTATTTGCTGTTAATTACTATTTGAGTATGACATCTCTCTTGGAAAGTAAATGTGTAGACATGTGTACATATATATATATATATATATATATATATATATATATATATATATTATATACATTGGCTGTTTCTATAAGAGATTTAATTTTACACTTAAAATGTTCTTTCAGAGACAGCAGCAAAAACTGTCGGAAACGTTCAACAAAAGTAGCAGATCATAAAAATGCTTTTGATGGATCTCGGAAAGGCTCATTCGGCTACAAAACAGAGAAGAAATGTGAACGTTATAAACGGCGAGATTTCAGTAAATCTCGAGACAAACCGGACAGTAAGTGGGAAACTGGAACACATGCTGATGCTGACAGCAACACTGGTTCTGATGATGAGAAGGCATCTGTACATATGCGCCTAAGTCATAGTCAAAGCAGCAGCAGTAGCAGCAAGTGTGACCGTGTTCCTAACAGTGTAAGTCGTGCGCAGAGCATTTCAAATAATTGTTCGGCTGGCTTTAGTTCTTGTTCAAAGAAGACAGGTGAGAGAATGGCAATCAACAAAAATATCGAATCTTTTAACCGGACTTGCGTTGTCCTTGGCAACCGCATTTATAGCCGAAAGCTAGATGATGATGATGTCATAGATGGTTGCCATCAATTGAGGTCACAATCTCAAATTCCCCCAGCCCTTTCCACCAGTGCCCAGGAAGCAGATCTCAAAACCAATAAAGTTAGCCAAGATTTGAAAGTAGCCTTCAGCCTCAATGAAAACACAGTGTTACGGAAAAGCCGTAGTTTGGATGATTTACATTCATCATGTGATCTCAGTGACATTATTAAATGTGACCAAACCAAAAATGGTACCACAGCATTTTCTGTCCTCTGTCACAATTCTCCCAACCAACAATTCCCTAACATTTCCTGTTCCCAATCACATAATAGCAGACAGCATTCATACTCAGTTTCATCCAAAAAGAATCCGTTCACACCACAGCCTTGGAAGGTTGGTTACACGACTCACTGGTCACAAGGCAACTCTGATGAAGACTCAAGCACATCACCGAAAGCTAAAAACTCTGAATTATCAATGTTTAATGATGGCTTATTTACTGAAGGACTAAGACAGCGTCGGGTACAGTCGAAACGATGGAAGATAAGTGATGACCCAGTAAATCTCAGTGCACTCTCATTTGAGGCACCCAGTATAAAAGAAAGTCCACCTCCCAGTTCCTCAGAGGGAGAAACCATGCAGACACCTGATTACAGAAAGGTACTATTAATTAAAGTTAATTTTACATTTGTTTATTTTTAGCAAAGATTAATGTAAATGTGTGATAAAAAGAAATCTCTTGATTTAACATTGACAACAATTTTGATGCTTTCAGCTTGTAATTGACTTTTAATTATTACTTCCTTACACCCAAAGTTTTGTTTCACTCTTTAAAGACTAAAATATTCTGACAGTCATATTGATGCTCTACACTTTGGTCTTCAATTTTTCTCTTCTATACATTTCTTATTAAATACTGTATTTCACCACACATAAGAGATGTGTTATTTTATTGCTCTTTTTACATTCTCATAAAAGTCATTTATCTGGTTTAGCCTATACATAATGTCTTTGTTAAATACTAAAACAATAAATTACGAATTTCTAAATGATTGCATTGTGGGTTTCAAATTCTTTATTTATGAGACAATCTCATTAAGATAGTGCAGATAACAAAAAAAAATTGGCTGTAAAGCATAGGCTGGGAGAGTTTAGGTTCATGACCTAAGAAAAAAATTTTAGATTATTTAAATGAGCAGATTTTCATTCTTCTACAGCACATTGCAGAAGTCTACATCCCCTTGAAAACTGGATGTATTTTGTTTATTTTGTTAGGAGCAATTAATATTTTAAACTCCAATAATTTGTTTTAAGAAGCAGATCTATCAAACTTATTTAATACACAAAATACATTGGAAAAATTTAAAACTGATTCTTAAACAAAGATAATTTTGAAAAATGTCTTTGCAAAAGTCTACACCCCCTTTGAAATGTCTTCAGCTAATACTTTGTGGATGATCCTGCTGCATCAATTACAGCCTGCAGACACCTCGGGTAGCCTTCCACGAGCGTGCTGCAATGGTCTGCTGACAGTTTTTGCTATTCTTCATGGCAGAACTTCTCGAGCTGTGTCAGATTGGATGGGGAATGTCGGTGCACAGCCAACTTTAGATCTCGTCATAGATTTTCTATAGGATTGAGGTCTGAAGACTGCCTGGGCTACTCCAAAACTGTGATTTTCTTGCTAGCAAACCAAGCTTTAGTGCTTTTTGACACATGCTTGGGGTTGTAAACTTGTTGAAACTTGAAATTGTGACCCAAGTGCAGAGCTCTAGCAGACTTCAGCAGGTTTGCCTCCAATATTTCTTGGTACTTGACACTGTCCATGAAACCTTGGGTGGTTACCAGCTCTCCAGGTCCTGCAGCTGAAAAACAGCCCCAAAGCATGATCGTGCCACCACCATGCTTTACAATGGGGATGGTGTAATGAGGTTGGTGAGCATTTCCTTTTTACTGCCAAATGTAGTGTTTTGTATTTTTTCCAAATAGCTCAACTTTGGTCTCATCTGACCACAAAATCTTTCACCACATGATCATGGAATCATTGATGTCACTTTTGGCAATGTTTAGCCTAGCTTGCTTGTGCATAGGCTTCAGAAGGGGCTTTTTTCTAGCTACCCTCCCTTGCAGGCCAGACTGGTGCAATACTCTGGAAATTGTAGATGTATGGCCATCTGTCCCAGTACTGGAAACTGAAGCTTTCAAGTCTTCCAGTGTTGCACTTGAGTTGGAGGTTGCCTCCTGGAACAATTTTGATTTTGCTCTTCTGGTAAGTTTGCTCGGTCTCCCAGATCTTGGTAGGGTAGCAGTGGTTTTGTGCACTAACCACTTTTTAACTACAGTTTTAACAGTGCTTAGGGACAATTCTAAAGTTTTTGCTATCTTTTTATAGCCATTATTTTCATTGTACTTTTGAATAATAAGGTTTTTATGTTTCTGAGACAGAGGTTTGCTAATTGGACACCTTGTGTTTACAGTCAGAGTCCAAAGACCAACATACCAAGAAACCATATGGTGGATGATTTTGTAGGCAGTTAAATCACCTTATATAGCAAAATAATAGACTGACCAAGTTTGTTTTTTATGGTAGAACACACATGTCACTTTTAATTGTTCTGGATTGTATACATCAATGATAAACTACGTGATAACACAGTATAATATCTGGGAGGGGGGTGTAGACTTTTGCAAAGACATTTTTCTAAGTTATATGATTTTAAGAATCGGTGTGAAATTTTTAAAATGTAATTTTTATATCAAAGGAATGTATGATGGGTCTGTTTAATCATTGGAATTGAAAAAATGTGTTGTTCCCTATTAAATTATACAAAATATAAATTTTCAAAAGGAGTGTAGACTTTTGCAAGCCACTGTACATTACTTACATTTAACTCTATTATCAATTCATTGTTTTGCAAATAAAAATGATAATGTTTAATATCTGGAAAATCAGATAAAAGATGCTTGATCATTTCCAAGAATTTATAATTTAATGGCATTAAGTAATCTTACTAGTTTTAAAGTTACATTTTATTGCCTTTTAAAAACTTTTTTAATTGATTTTGATTCTATTTTTCTTGCCTAACTTAAGAAAAAAACTACCTCCTATTTCAGCCAATGATCAGCTCCGAAGAGTGGGATGATCGCATGCACTCGGACATTGTGACATCCAGTTTTGAAACAAGCAGTTGTACTTCTGAGACTGAAATGTCCACAATGCAATCCAAGTCTCAAGTTGAAGATCTCCACAGCCCAGGATGGAATTTAAATAACTTGAATGTCATCAATCTACTCCAGCCAGTATAAAAACTTTTTTTTAAACTTTTTCCTTTACTTCTATTTTGCCATTTCATATCTACACATTTTTCCCTCTTCTCATGTAAACAATATACAAGGGATGAAGGCAACTTTGAAAAACTTCTGAGTAATAAGTATTTGATAAACAAATAAGTCTTCAGAAAATAATGTGAATAAATATCAAATTTGGAATAAAATAACTTACAACTTTTTGATAATCCCTTAACAGTTCAGTATTTTTGACCTGCTGTTTGATTTTCAAGCTTTTCCTTTTAATAAATTAAAATTATATAGGAATCACATGAATATATTGTTGTTTTTGTTTTTTTTAAAACACCATTTTTTTTTATAAACATACAGTCTATAAGTTATTTCCAATTACACGTTAATCATTTATAATTTGTCAAATTTAATCCTGTATAAAATATATATTTATATTGTTAAAATTCTTCCTAGTAAATTGAGAATTTTCCTATTTTATAACTGCTATAAAAATTCCACATTTAGCTGATAAATAGCTAAAATTGTAATCATGGATGTTGGCACTGATCTCTTCAAATTGGTGTTGTAGAGTATGAGATAATCAGGATAGACTTGTTCTTGCTCTAAAATTTAACAGACTATCCAATGTTTTTCACTGGGTCCAATATTAAGATATTTTATAAACATATTAACTTATGCTATTTTGAAACAAAAATTTATTTGAAAAGCAACTATGTTTGGAATTGTCCATTAATTGGTTAATGATATACTATAATTTTTTTTTTTTTTTATAGTTACCTTCATCGTTTTTATCTTAAAATTGTCTATTAAGCAAGGTTTTCAGAGATAATAGAATTGTCTGGATGCTTTGTGAAATGTTATTCATGATTGTTGTGGAATTTTCTCTTTTTTAAAAAAAAAATTTTTGTCCTTCAATTGGAAACATGATCAGTTATTCATTCTTTGTGAACAGAATCCCCATGGTATATCATACACTATGTTCTGTTTATAAAAATGGTATAACATGAAAAGATGTGGGTTTTTATTATAGCTTATTCTCTTCTTGTAAAAAGAAAAAAAAAACACAAAGTATAAAGAACAAATAACAAAATCTGCAAATAAAAACTTCTTTTCTATTATGTCATCATAAAGGTGAATGATGCAGTAACTGAATAGTTAGGGTTCAAATATGGATCAGAAAAACATTGGATTGAGAACAAAAACATGTTGTCATTCTTTTTAGTAGCCATTTATCTCAAAGTATATCAGTCAAATTACTGAACACTGAGGAAATATGAGATAAATAAGTTTGTATCTTTTTTTTAAATAGTTATTAGTTGAATTTTTGTGAATTTTCTCTGGATGATGTTTGATCTATGTGATTAATATTTCACACTGAATTAAGGAAAAATATCAATAAAATATACTTTTGTGTGAAATAATGGCTTTTTTATCAATAAGCTTCAGACTTATAGATTTATGACAAAGTGCTAGAAAGTTCTTGGCTTGATCTACTTCCCTAAATCTGATGAAATGACTAAACAAATTTTTTGCTTTTCATTACCTCCTTGTTTGTTCCTTGAGCTTTTCTTTTTTTTTAATTTTAGATGAAAAAAAACACAATTTTTTGTTTTCTTTTCACTATTTTCGGATAGTTTTTGCAATAGTTTTTATCTTTCAAAACTAATTGCATATTCTGTCTATATTTCTGAGATGATCTATTGTAATTTACATTGTTCAGACTGTTGTCCTCATCTTTGTTGCCATATTCACAATGTTTTGGCCATTTTACATTCTTAGTCTTCTTCATTGGAATTTTGAACCAAATTCTTTATTTTGTACACTGGGGGTAGATTATTCTAGTTCCACATACCATGCTTCTTGATGTCTCGGTTATCTCCCTTTAACTCAACTCTCAAACTCACAACTTTTTGGGTCAAGTCTCTGGATCCAACCAATGCTTTTATCCATGGGGCCATGTCTTTGAGAACTTTTTAGGACTTATAAACTTAATGGCTCAGTAATCTTTTCTTTTTTTTTTTTTATACCAGAGTTCAATTTGTTGTTGTTATTGCTTTTCTCTAGCAATATTTCTGTATCTCTTTTTCCATATTTATTTCTATGCTTGGCCGGTTTAGAAGATTTTTCTGGCCTAGCATATGTGCTGATTCCTTAAGTTTTCATATTTTCCAGTGATGCTCTCTGTCTATTATTTCAACCTCATCCCACAGGAGCCAGTGATCTCCCTTTTACATCCATATGTGGTCAGCTACATCTGATTTTTCTATTTCCTCTTGTGTTACGGCTGAATGATATATTGCAGTCTTATCTTAAGGGGCATCCTGTTTCTCCTTTATATTTCTTACCACAGCTGCACAGGATGGTGTACACTTAGTCATGTTCTCACCTGTGGGGCGTCTTGGAAGAGGTGTCTGCGAAGTGTTGAACCACTTTTGAAGGTCGTCCTGACAAAGAACATACTCACATGTGATATGAACCACAGATTTTTTGTATTTTTTCCAATAATTCCTTCACACAGCGTAGGCAGACTGAAGCTGTTTTCTGAGTGTTGTTATCCTCTTGTACTCTTTTTATCCCATTTTGTCGGAGCTCCTGCCATATACCCAGGGTAGTTGTTTCATTTTAGGGTACTGCTTATGATAATGCCTCCTCTGTGGGTACCTTGGTGAACAAATTTACCACATCCAGGCTCACCATCTGGTTGGATTGGATGGGAGCATCTTTGATTATTTTCATGAAGTGGGCAGAGTTTTGGACATATGAAGGTGGCTTTCCTATTAATGGGTCAATTATATCTACAAGGAAGCAACTCAGTTGGTGGTACGCAGAGTCTTGTGGAATACAGTCTTTGTGAATTTTGGAGAGACAATATATATGAGGTGACTTGGTGTAATGCTGCAACAACTGCCTATATCTTTTAGGTGGGAAGTGGTCTTTGTTCTTGATTAGGATCTGTGACAGTTTTTGTTCTGTTTTCATTGTTGGAGCTTTCTTTACTGTAGCTACCATTTCTAATGAGGTCTTCCAGTTTTTCTGTATATGCCATTTTGTAGGGTTCGTAATGTTTAAATTTGGTGGCTCCCCTGTGGGATGATATTAAAATAATAGAGAACACCACTAGAAAATATGATAACTTAAGAAATCAGCACATATACTAGGCTACAAAAATCTCCAAAGTCAGCTAAGCATAGAAATAAATAAAATATGGGAGCCAGTAATATAGAGTTTTCGTGAAAAGCAACAAAATAACAAAATTGCAACATGAGCTCTGATAAAAAAAAAATGGTTACTGAAACATTAAGTTTATAAGTCACCAAAATTGATACACTGATGTCCTCAAGGACACATGACCCAGTAGATAAAAGCGTTGATTGGATCCAGTGACTTGACCCAAAGAGTTATGAATATTTGGTTACTGCAGTGGTGAACAAAACTTGGAAAGTTGAGTTAAAGGGAGATAACTGAGACATCTGGAAGAGGCGTGAAATTAAAACGATCTACCTTGGTGAACAAAATAATAGGTTCAGGTCAAAATTCTAATCACCTGAAGGAGGCCAGAGTGTAATAAGGCAACAAAGATGAGGATAGCAGTCTGAACAATGTAAATAGTGTAAATAATTACATTTTTTATATGAATTCTATATTGTCAATAGTCCATATTAGGCAGTATTTAATTTCCTCAGTGAAACGTAACATTAATTTTCTATGTGTGCTTTTTATGTTTATCCAATTGAATCAGACTGATTTGTTTGTACATTTGTGCCTCTGTATTTGTATACATGTAATTCATAATTTTTTCATAGAATTACTTTTCCTTGCCCTCATTCATGTCATTATTTTGTGAATTTTCAGCCCAGTAATTCTTCCACTGGTCACAGCAGTCATATCCCCCCGCCTGACAAGGGTAAGTTAAGGTTATTTCAGCTTTAAGTCATGACATTTTTTTTTATATTAACAAGTGAATTGAATCTCTTGAGAATTTTAAACTTAAAAAAAAATCAAGAGTATCTAATTTGTAAAAAAAATAATCATTTTGAAGCTCTTTTTCTTTTTATAATTCCTATTGTAGTGGATACTGAAACTGATTTTGGAGTTTATATGTTCACTGTTTTTAAGAAACCTTTTGAAAGGATTGAAAGAAAAGATTACACTCAGTGATGTCATGCTTAGAACCATGCGGTGAACTGTCCCATAGAAGCAAGTGAGCCAGAGTGGCTTGCATCTGGTGCAAAAGGAAAATAAGGGTCTTACCTCAATGTGCGGCTCATAGAATCGGCAAGTTTGCTCCTTGAAAATGGCATTATTTTCCCATGTAGCCATTCCAGTAGCATGTGCGGTAACAAGTGTTTTTGTACAGTTTGGCATGCTTTGACCAATAGCAAGCTGACTGGTAGAACTGGAGGAGGATATTTACCTGGAAAACTGAGAATAAAAACGAAGAATGCTGATTGGTTGTTCGACCGTGGCATTGGCCTGATAAAAGAGGGCTGAAGCAGTGAGAATGGGAGAAAAAGATGGGTTTATGTTTTGAAGTGCGTGGAAAGCAAGAATGGCGGATTGAACCAGAGGTATCTTGAATTGTACAAGTGACGTCTGAGTAATAGACTCATTTAAACTACAAACCATCAAACTATAAAAAAAGAATTTAAGCCTAGCAAAATGGGCATAAAAGAAACCTCAATCTAACTGAACCAATTTTCATATATAGGTGATTGCATGAAATTTGTTTGGTTCTACTTGTTGGCTGAGTTAATTGTATATTTTCCAATGGTATGTCATTATTTTCCATCTCAAAGTCAATATTATAAAAGTTAATTTCCATGATACACACACATAAATGCTCCCTCTGAGAAGATTAGCACAGTATGTTCTCAGTCCACCCATTTTACACAATGTCTTTGTAACAACTAAGTTAAGCTTTGTAAATATTTACATGAATAAGTTTGTTTGGATTTTTTTTTTTTTTTTCCTAAAAATTATCATTGTGTATTTTGTTTCCTAAAAATTATTATGTATATCATTGTGTGCACTTTTAACAATGCATACATATGCACAAAATTGTTCTAAATAGATTATATTTTAGGTAGGACCAATGAAAAGATCTCTCATCCTGCAAACTCAGTTCTTTTTGTCTGAGAAACAACTGTAATTATAGGTTGCATCTTGCAACAAACACAAATCTTAACCTTTCAAATTTTTGTCTTTAGATCCTAAGAATTAAGCAAAATGAACATAAAAAAGAGTGTAAAATAATAATGAATATAATAAATTATATAAATAAATATTAAATAATGATAATAATGAATATAGAACAGTAATAACATAGTGGAAGACCATAGTAGTTGCATCTTCATAGCACTATCTAAGAAATCAGGTGCAAATGAATTCAAGCTGGATTGGACAATCAGCTTAATGAGTTGCTAAACCAAAGCTAATAATCCGAATTCTCATGAAAGGAGCACAAAGCAGAATTAGGCTGGAAATAGAACAAAAACAGTGTAACTTTGGCAAGATAAACAGATTGATGGCAGACATAAAAAAATGACAGGACTTCCTAGCCAGGGTAGTAAAGGAAAGTGAGAATAAGGGACAAACTCCCAACTGTAAGAAGTCCATGGACAAAGCCCGTATACTGCAAAGAAGTCTTAAGGAAAATGAAAACTAAAAGAATGCATACTCAGAATCAGAAAGATCAGTTGAAATTTCACATAATGAGGAAGGAATGTTCGGAGAATTTGACACTCACATGGCATATTGAAAGAAAGAGGAACAGGGGAAGGTAGCGGGGTCACCTAACCAATGAGCTTTTGATCAGATGGCTGACCAGGGAGTGGGCGGAAGGCTTGGCAAAAGGACAAATGTTTCTATGGGCTACAAAGGATAGGAGGTTGTAGAGAGCCATGATCTCCCACATACTGAAAGGTCACAGCACATGGAAGATATAAGCAAATTGTTTTCTCGTACCATTCTGCTGTAATTTCTTCTTATGGTGTAATTGATTCAGTCTTTCAGACTCATTTTTTTTTCTATGCTTATATTTTGAACATGCATTTCTAAACTTTTGTAAAACACCATCTGTCAGAAGTTGAAAATATTTAAAAGAAAAATGAAAACATCATTTAAATTTAGTCAGACTCTTAATATAAAATTACTTCTTACTTTGGATTAGAAAGTTATGTTTGCTAAATTAAATGAAAGTTGATCAGTAATTGATTTTTTTTTTTAATTAAGCAAATACATCTTTAAAATACAAAGTCAGCTAAAAATTATGGGTTTTCAGATAAATTTGTTAATTTTTTTCTGTTTATTTTAATCCTATTGTTCTACATCAATTTCAAGAAATCAGTAAATAAAATATTCTTCTTCATTATTCATGATTTCTTGTCAACATTACACTAGCTTGTCAATGCATTGACAGTAGATATCTCTGTGGATGAGCTCATTCAATCAGTGCTCAGGTTGGCTGGGATATAGTCTGTGAGGTTAAGGTTCACCCTTTTTTTTTTTTTGAAGCAGGAAAACCATTTGTGTCATAGTGCCTTCTCCATACACAGCACATATTCCTCATCGAACAGCTTTGGTAGCTTTGGAACCTTGATCGAAAGTAAATGGAGGCTGATGTCAAAAATGCTTCTTTTTTTTTTTTTCTACTTGGCATTCCACCATCAAATATCTGAAAAGAGGTAAAATTCAATCAAATTATAAAAACAAATGGATTTCTATTTAATGCCACATTGCTGTTACTTCAAATGTTATTATAGTTGATACTGATATTTATAATAGATGCTCCATTTTTATTTTTACTTTAAACTGTGTAAATATCTTTTGGCTTGTATAAAGAAAATATGCTCTCCAGCAGGAATCAAACCTGCACTCCCCTTTGAAGGAAGAACCACTGTTTGATCCAGTGTGCTTTACTGTTTGGAACATCACAGTACAAGGTTCTGTTTTCCCTTTTTAAGGAGAGCACTATTCCTCACCAAGATATTTTTCTCAAAATCCCTGAAACATAAACAAAGCAATTTCTAAAGAATTAATGACTTTATATTTAATCTGACATTCCCATTACATCAAATGTTTCTATAGTGAATATTCATATTTGAAATAGATGTCCCATTTTTATTTTTACTATAATCAGTGTTTATTATGGTTATAGGCCTTTGTATTAAAAAAAATATTGTGTATCAAGAAATTTGAAGGTATGTGGGTGTAATACTATTAAAGATATTATTTTTGTTATTATATTTGACCTTTGCATGTATCAGATGTTTGGTGTTTTCAAATTTCCTGATAAACATACACACACACTAGCACCACAAGACAAAAAAACGTATGAGATTTAGCTGTCCAATGAAAAACAAACACAGAAATCAAAGAACCTGAACTTTGTCTTCCATAATGCATTTATGCATTTCTGATTAAGCTTAAATAAATGCGAAACATGTTAAATTTATAAATGTTTCCTATTTGTTCCTTATTCTATCATTGTCAAATTGTAATCCATATTTAATTCCCATATATATATATATAATGCACACACGCACAAGTTTAATTAAAGATGACTGACAAGGTACTATGTCTAATCTTTTTATTCAATTTTTCTTGTGTTCATATAAGTCATTTCTTTTCTGGTCATAAAGTGTGTAAAAGCTGTCTGAATGTTCTATACATATGAATGCTTTTGGCTATTATATTAGCCATTATCAAGGATGTCTTTTATTTTTAACTGAATGTGTAGATATTTTTTATATATATATATATATATAGAATGATGGAAATGTTTTTTTATTTTCCAAACATAGCATATTGAGGCTGTATTCATAGTTGATCTTATTGAGAGTTGTCTTTTTCTTCTTTTTTTTTATTATTAGTGCTTCTATTATTTTTAGTCTTTTTTTACATGTGGATGAGGCTATTGTACTTGTATTGTCTATAAGTGGGTTGTGGATGGAGTTTGGTAGGTTTCCGTGTGTGTTTAAATCAGTCCTAATTGAGTTTAGAGAGGTGTAACATGAGTCTTCTTGGTAGGAATGACTATCAAGAAGACTCATGTTACACCTCTGACCAGTCACATTAGTTTGTTGTACTGTTTCATTTGTTTTGTTGTTATTTCTAAATCTAACTAGACATAGGTTCACCTTAATTGTTAGCGACAAAAATTGTGTTCATAATGAGGTTGATCTTCTGGCATTGATGCTTCACTCTATAATTCAACAGTGATTATTTCACATTGATGTTAAGTTCACTGATTCTTAATCATATCTTTTTAACATATGGAACTAATGCTGAATTCATTTTTGCTTTTTTCCATGAAATAGCAATTGTCTACAAACATGTCTGACTGCAAATAGCCAAACACTTGATTGAGCGCAGCATTAATGTGAATAGCTGTGATTATTATAGACAAATATGCTTGATGGATTAAATACATAATATTGGTGGGTGTAAATGTTAACTTGTTATACACGCGTGTATTTACAGCTAAAACAAAAACATTTCCTTTTTAATCAAGTGTGATAGTGCAGATACCACTTTTCAAATTTATTTCCAATATAGAAATTCATGTATGTAAATAAAACACTGATCTTTTATGCTCAAAAGATTTAAAATGTCATTTCCAGTTTTTCTCAATTTGAGCAAGAGTAACTACAAAGCAGTGATTCTTAACCTTTTTCTTTGTACTTCATGCAAACCAACAACCAGTTCTTGTGCCTCTTTCAAACCACCAACCTATTTTCACACCCACTTCAAGAATTGATGAAAAACAATATTGATCTCATATGTAATAACAAAATCATTATGTATCTTTTAATCTTTATTCATATAACTGACAACAAAATAATAATGCATGACAAAAACCCAGATTACTTTCATATTAGCAAAAAATAAAATTACGCTATGATGGTAGCTATTGGTAAAATTTCTACAATGTAAATTTTTATGTCGGATCACCAAACACTACACTAGAGTTTCTTTAATAAACCAACTCTATCAATTCAGTATTCTCACACCTCTAGGAATGATATCGTACCCCTAGAGGGTGTAGGCACCCTTGGTTAAGAACCACTGACATAAAGTGACAGCTTTATTGACCAAACACAGAAGTAAATGAGCAACTTTAAGCACAAGTGCAATTGTCTACACATTGTCTATCCCAGTATTTACATATATATATATATATATATGGTGAAAGGTAGAATGTTGAAGGCAAGCAGAAAAGAACATTGGAAGACCAATTACAGGTTCACATATAAATTAAAAGAAAGTGTAATTACAGAAAAAAGCCCCCAAATCACAACTCCAGTTCAGTTCAAAATCTTCCAACTGGAAAAAAATTATCAAAAGCTGAAATAAGTTGAAGATATGAATAGTCATTTTAGTGTTTTCAAGCAACAAATTGCAGTGTTGAACTGAACCAAATCAAGTTTTTTTGTTTTTTTTTTAAATAAAGCAGTCAAACTGCTTCTTGTCATTAAATGTACTAACTGATATCATGTCTGCTGCAATGTGGTGACACAAGATTTGGTGAGGAGGCTTGAGAATGAAGAGGATGTGTAACTAAGTGGGAACAAGTGTAATGAATATTTCTCTTGCAAAAAGCAGATTATAGAATGCTTGAAAAGTTTTCAGGTCTCTCAAGTTCTTATTTTGCTCATATAAATTTTTAAAAAATGCATTTATTCAGTATTTACACAAATTTTGTTTTCTGCAATTGTTACTACCACTGTCTGTCCTTAGTTGCTATAGTTCAAAATATTTTTTTACTTACAACAAAAGATAAATACAGTGCTGTTCAATAAAAGTGACTCACCTGATATTTTTTACTAAATGTTCTCTTCTTCGATGAAACGAAAGTTGAGCTAAATTCAAAGGATAAGCAATCTAAAATCTGAAGAAGAAGCTTTGGAAGCTCTTTGAATTTAGCAGTAAGTACTGTCAAGCATCAGTTCAGTATAATGTCCTGGGGATGCTTTTCTTTTCATGGAACTGGTTTCTTGAAACCTATTGAAAAGACTCAGGAGCGAGTAGTACAAGAGAATTTTAGAGTCTTGTCTACTCCCTTCTGCTGAAACGGTGAAAATCAACCCTACCAAGTTCATTTTTATGCAGGATAATGTTCCCTGTCACAAATCAAAATTGATGAAGGAATACTTTGATGAGAAGCAGGTGAGTATTATGACATGGCCACCCCAATCTCCTGACCTTGGCCCTATAGAAAACTTATGGAGCATGTTGCTCAACTGCTTTCTCAAGAGCCTGTACTTTATAATGCTCCAATTTTATCATCATAATTGTTGTACCATTTGTAAGAAGCAAGATTTGAGAAAAAAAAACTTATATAAAAATATCATAGAACTGGCAATATTTGTATTTGGAAAGTTATTTAAACTGTGTAAAATAGTGTGACATAATACTTTTTTATCGGTCAATTCCAACTTGAGAATGGGGTGAATTGACTGATTAAAAAACACTTAATTTTAAGAAATTTCAATTTAAATTAATTTTGGAAACTAAAAATATACATTTGTATAAGTCCTCAAAGAAATTAAAAGGAAGGTTGAAATTAAATTTTAAAATTTTATTTGAAACTTTAACTGGAGATATGAAAAATATAACTTTAATTTAAAAATAAAAACTAAGGTTGGAATGCTGTTAAACAACCAAACCAAACCATAAAAATAAAAATTAGACTAATCAGAATTTTTTGAATATTTAAAAATTCTTTCTTTTTTAATATTTTCTTTGAGTGCCTCTGAAATGTCATTAAATTATTCTTGTGTAATAATTGAGAAATGTAAAGTTTAACAAGATCGAATGAATTAAAGATTTTTAAATAGAAAATTGTAATTTTTTATATATAGGAATTAATTAGCATGTTTTGAAGAAAAGGAAATAATTAAAGTATTTCCTTTGGTTACCCTTTGTACTTTTTAGCATACAGACAGGGTTTTGTCATTTTTAGTCATTTATATTTCAACTGTTTCATGAGAAGCTGAATATAAGCAGATTTTCATCAGTCATGGTATAATCGAGGTAATTTTGCATGGCATAAAAAAATCTTGCTCGTTATACAGGAATATTTTTATTTATAACAAAATTTATGCATTTCCTTTTTGTAACATCTAGAACCAATCTTTAAGCTTCAAAGATTTTTAAATTGTTGCAATATGTTTAAATTTTAAACCCATGGCAATGAACTATTTTGTATATCAAATACCCAACTGTTTTATCTATGAATCAAATGTACATTATTTTCAAGTTTTTCGTTCTTTATGACAAAATTAATTTTTTTACAATGCCCACAATAAACTGAATACAGCAGGGATTTAAAAACGACCAACAAACTTAATTCTGTTATTTACTACAATTGAATACATTTTGTTTTCATTTTTTTTTTCTTTTTTTTTTCTTTTTAGTTAGCTGTGTCATCTGGGAAGGCAATGAGTGTCAGAAAGTTGACTTGACTGCCCTGCACATCAGCTGGGTGATCATAGACAAGGTTGACCAGATTCCAGACAGCTCTGATTATATTTACATTGGCATATTTTTCTCTCTTGTCATGGGATTAATGCCTCCTTTATTTCGAATTTACAATTGCAAAGAATTTTTCACCGTGCTCTCCACAGATGGCTTTTTAGCTGCCTTGCTTGGAATTGGCAACAGTGGATGGAAGTAAGTACTTAGCCATATTGCATATGATTTACTTTTGCTATTTACATATTCTGCTTTTTGCATGTAGTGTGTATTTAAAAATATTTTACCTATATTGTTTATTTTTCATCAACAACCTTCTTGATGTCATCAGTTCCCAACTTCGTATTTATGCTGGTGACACACTCATTTAGTTCTGTTCTTATAGTAAATTCAGTAGGTCTGAAAAAGTAAAACTGGCAGCTGCCCTTGAAAATGACCTCCAATCAGTTGTTAACAGGGGCAAGAAATGGATTGTAAATTTGAATGCCTCCAAAACGAAACTCCTATCCTTTAATCATCATAGAGAACCATTTTTGCCCTCCATCAGCATGGCTGATGCTAACCTCCAGAAGAGCAACTCATTGTGCGCTCTTGGTCTCAGGTTTTCTACTGATATCAAGTGAAGTGACTATACTGAATCACTTATTAAGTCTGCTGCTATGAAGGTTGGCTCACTGTATCCTGTCAGACATCTTGCACGTTTATAAATCTATCACTTTTTCATGCATTGAATATGACTGGTGATCCAGCTATATACCTTGAGGTTCTTGACAAAATCCAAAGATGTGTTTGCAATGTAATCGGTCCTGACCTGGTATCTTGACTTCAGTTACTTTTCCACTACTGTGCTGTGGCTTCCCTTTGTCTTTTCTGTAAATATTTTCATGGCAGTTGTTCTAATGAACTATCCTCCTAGGTATTGCATCCACATGAATTTAATTGTACTACTAAATTAGCTACTAGGTCTCATTGTTTTACTGTTGAAATAGCTAAGATGTTCTAGTTCTATTCTAATGCTTTCTTTCCTTGAACTTCTAACCTGTGAAACTGTCTTCCAGTTTCTTGTTTTTATATCACCTACTATCTCTAAAAAAATTTAAATCACCATCTTCTGTCTTCCTGAATCTTGTTCTTTTATTGACCTTTCTCTTCACCAAAATCTTCTCATTCTCTTCCATTCCCAGTAACCCACGTGTCTTAGTGGCATTATTGCCTTGCATGGGGGAAAATGATTCAAATCTATATCCTATTGCAGTAATGGTTTGAAAAAAAAAAAACCTCAGGTTAAGATATTTACAAGGATGTGTCAATAAGTCTATAGCTGGATACATAGTTATTAGCTGAAATTTGATATGAAATTGTACTGATCTATGTAATTAATATTCACTACTCATCTAAGAGTATTGAGAAAGAAGATTATGTTGAAAAATGTTTTCCTCCATGCTGACTAATGCCTTTCACTATGCTCTGAAATGTTTTATATATCAAAAACATTATTGGGGAAATTGTATCATCGATCTAAATTTGTTATATTCATATGACTACACATTCACATAAGCAAGGGGTGCTGGGAGTTTTAGAATTGTTTTTTTATTTTATTTTTATTATCTAGCCTAATTCATTTAGAGTCTTTCTTTCCATTACTTTTGTTAGTAGGTATGCCACACTGATAATAACAGGAATGGTGAAATGTTGTAAGGGCCAGGGTGCAAATTTTCCTGTGGATGATCTTGCTATCAATCACTCTCTTGACCTCATAGTGAATTATTTTCTCCTTTGATCAGAGTAGCATTTTTTATGTCAAAATTGTAGTCAGTCTTGTTATAGTGAACAACCAAAGCATTTTACATATTGTTTTGTAAAATATCCCTTTTGTGTTCATAAATCTTTTATTTAGATTCCTTGAAGTTTCTTCTATGTATTTTTTAACAATTGCAAGCAATGGCATAAACTCCTTTAGCTTATTATTTTGTATTGTATTGACTAAGTCCTTTATTGTTTTTGATGTAGTGGTAACAAATTTTATGTTGAGTTTAGAGAGATACTTTTTGATTGTAGATGTAATAGTTTGTTGGTAGGATAGTGAGTGTGGTTGTAGTATATCCTATGTAAGAGGTTGTGTATTTTTTTATTATTATTATTTACAGAGAAACATTCTCTGAGCAGGTAAGTACTTTTCTTCTGAAATGAACTTAAGACAAGTTCTGATAGAAATTCCTCCTAGTCTGAAAAGTAACATTTGTAATTTGTAAAAATTGATCAGTAAAATTAATCAAGACAAAATCTTTGTTTTTTAATATTACCTTAAAAAACATTTGCTGATTAAATACATGGAATGAATATATACACACACACACACACACACACACGGCGTGATGGATAAATTGTCGTCTAAATTACACAAAAATGAAAATAACACTGACATCTCATTTTAACAAATATATTTACCAAAATTACACAAAAATATCTTGAAATACTAAAGAGTAAATATATTTAATAAAATCACCATTAGCTTCAGAATCTCCTGCAACTCTTCTGAATGGTCTCCTTATTTAAGTTGGTGAATGCTGTCATAATGCTTGCCTTCAGTTCATCTTTGGTGTTACAAAGAGTTTTTGTTCGTCTCTTGCTCAACTGTGCCCTACAAATAATAATCAAGGGGGTTGCAGTCTGGGGAGTTAGGTGGCCAGATGTAAGGGGTGATGCAAAATTTCAACATGCACTACTTGACATTCTCTAAGAGACAAAATAAACAATACTTGTATTGTGCAATCTTATTTCAGCGATTTATAATAATCATAAACTTCAACTTATCTGAGCTTCCAAAATAGTCATTGATTTATTTATCCTCATGTCATTATTACATATCAGGAGTCATGAGTTCAATTCTTAGGCAGGGTTACAATGATTTGTGGTTACATGCATGAATCTGATAGGACCAGCTGAAATGTGATGGTAAGTAAAGCAACAACAAAGTGACTGGTTTATATCGATTGTCAAGTCATTGAACATTTTGTCAATACAACAAAATTGTAATTGAGACTACATAATTGCTTTAAATGAGCTAACACAACTTTCTAAGGTTGTCCAAGTTTGATTTATTTTTGCTCCATATTTTTTTTTATTTTTGCAGAATCAATTTGATCATGCTTAATGCTGTGCTTCAACGCCTTTGTCTCAGTGTCCTTTTCTTCTTCTTGCTCTCCGTGGCTGATCGCACGTTCAAACAGGTGAGTTATCTGACCTTGATACTCCACAGAGCATACACTGCTGCTGATGTCAGCTTGTCGATCAGTGAATTTTCAAATTGCTATTTATTTTTAAAGACATATGCAGCAAAATTCTCCACCCCACCCACAAATATGTGAATAAAGGTGAAAGAAAAACTTATCTTTGCATATAAGTTTCTTCCTCTGATGGATTTTATCGAAGTCGTTTTATTTATTTTTCATTTGCTTTGATAAAGTCAAGCAGAGAACAAAATATGTAAGCAAAGATAAATTTTCCTTTTCTCTTTATTCAAATTGTCTTTACAGATATATTTTTAGTTATATCTGAATTTTTACATACATACATACATACATACACTCACACTATTATATTTATATACTATATGTTTTTATATGTACACATACAAAGTGGACATTGGGGTCAACATTGAGTAGCCACAGTCTGTTTCATACTTAAACCTAATCCTTAGGTCAGCTGGCCTGACAATTACATTTAAGCTTGATACTGTCACTGCTGGGTGTTGACCTCAATATCTTTTTTTTATAATTATGGATGCTATATTCTTCATATTAAGCACTAAATCATAAATATAGCATGCCATAAAACTATATTTTTATTTTGTGCGAGTA